AGCCACGGATCATGTAAAGTTTGTAGCTAACATTTAGCTACGCTATATTTTGCTACGAATGCTTAGGAAAAAAATATTGTGGCTAAAGTGTTTAGCCACGAAATTTTTCATATTTCGCTACAATGTATTTCGTAGCTACATATGCAATATGTTGTAGTGGTGATTTTCTGCTTTTAGCTTGTTGATGCATCCCTTACTATTAATGCCTGATGTTGTGTATCTTCCAATAAAAAGAACTGTTAACAAATTCTACGGTAAAGATCAGGTAATACTTATCTATATCTATTGAAGCCTATTATCAGTCTTATGGCATTATGAGTAACAATTAGCAACAACAAACAACAACAACCAAGTGAAATCCCACAAGTGGGGCCTGGGGAGGATAATGTATACGTAGACCTTACCCCTACTCCAAAAGAGTAAAGGGGTTGTTTTCCATAGACCCTCGACACAAGAAGATAGAACGAGACTATGCAGCAGTAACAACAAAAGAAACCAGAAAGATGACACCAATAACACAATAACCAGGAAATAGAGATGAACAACAATTCGCATGGATAAAAAAAATGGTTGTCGATTAAAAGGGAAGACTATAATTTGGGGGTTTTGACACAGTTACCCACAGAACAAAACTATTTACCTTTGTCTATCCATTTGTTTTTCTACCCATAAACTAATTACATTTCCTACCCATAGTAGTTTTTGTGGGGAATTTTTTCTTTATTCTCCAATTTTTTTTATTTCTATGCTTCTTTTCTTTTTTTTTCTTTTCTCCTTTTTTTTCTCGTTTTCTTCTTATTTTTTTCTTTTTTCCTTTTCTAATTTCATTTAACTTCTTCTTTTTTACATTCTTTTTCTCTTTATAGTCTAATTTCATTTACTGTTTTTACTATTTTTTATTATTCTTTTTTTTATATTATTACTAAAGAAAAATCAAATTGTGTACCAATTAAATATAGTTAATACAACCAAAAAATATTAACTAACATATGATATTAGTATAGTATATATCTATACCAACAGGGTATACAATTGTACGCAAAGAGTTTAAAAAAAAAATTAATTCAATTATTAAACTGAAATAATATTACTTGTCAATAAAAATTTCAACAAATTCTAAAATGATCTAATTGTACGAGTATACCGTTACATTATATAACATACTATAATATTATTTTTTTTTGCATTTTCAATTTGCCCCTCACGCTGGATAAAAGATTAAAGCAAATTAAAAGAGAAAAGGCAAGTGAATTTACGGGTAATAAGTATACTATTATAGTATATTGTATACTATTACAGCATACTGTTACATATTGTTGCAGTATACTATAACAATATATTGTATACTATAATAGTATATTGTTGCAATATAACTATATACTCCTATAGTATATTATATACTGGTGGTATACTATTAGGTAACTATGTTCTTCTTCGATTATTATAATACATCGATGCAGTATATTGTAAGCTATAATAGTATACTGTTGCAGTATAGCTATATACTCCTATAGCATATTGTATACCGTAGCAGTATACGATTGGTAGTTGTGTTCTTTTTCGATTTTCGACTTAAAATTTCGATCTCAATTACCTCAAATTAGCTCCAAATGCTGTCAAATTTCAGTACGAACTTTCAAAAGGTATATAAGCAATATTTAACAGCACCCACTTTGAATCAAACAAGAAATCTTCAAAATAAAAATTTTAAACTCATTGCCAAATAAAGAAATTTCGAAAGTCATTGTTTTATTAAAGAAATTTCGAAAGTCTAGGAAGTTTACACTCGACATTTTAAATCATAGAGTAGTTAAAAACTTGATATGGCCTGTGCACCCACTCCATCTTCTTGGAAAACCAATTTTTACATTTGACGAATCAACATCTCAAAATCATGCTGACCCTTCAGCAGGCTCAGCCGAACATAACGATTTCTGCAAACAATTTGCTACCTGGACGACCTATGATTTTTGCTACTCTGAAAACTTGTGTGCAGTTTTTATCAGCTTTTACTTTTACTGCTACTTGCTAAATATAAACTCATTGAATTCCCTTTTCACTTGGGATTTGGGATTTCTGCGTTTTTTTTTTCCTTTCCTTTTCACAATGCAATTCTGCAAGAGATGACCGGAGGCGGTGGAGACATGCACAAAACAGTTACAGCGAAAATAACCGGGTAAATAATTTGGATCCCATGAGTAGGAGTAGTAAATAATTTGAACCTGAACATTAAAGGGTAAATAACTTAGAATTAATGAGTATAAAGTAAAATTTTCTCTATAATTTGGCTGATAGTTGATAGACTAAGATGAGTAAATATGGGCACTTCTTGGCAGGGGTGGCCAGACCCGCTTTAGGCCCCAAGAATTTATGGGCCCCAAAATTACTACTTTAGATATTATTTATATTATTTCTTAAGGAGTATGCATAAGTACTCCCCTAATCTATAACTCGCTTTCCAATTACACATTTTATCTTTTTGGGGTCCTGTTATAACTATTTTAAAGTGTGATAAATTCAGATGTGGCAATGCACGTGCTTCAACTTTCATGGGAGCGCGTCACAGATGTAAAATGAGTCAAACACTAACTAATGTGTACAAATGTCAATTTTCAATTGGACAATATGGAATTAATTACATTTAATTAAATTAATTATTATAACCATCCTCTCTAACCCCTTTCATCTTGCTATTTTTCGTCATTTTGAAAGCTTTAGCTTGTTTAGATATTTGGAGTGTTTGGTAAAAAAAAAATAGCTTAAAAAAAGGCTTACAAAAAGCTAAAAATCACAAGTTGAATATCTAACTTCTCTTTTTTTTTGCTTAAAAACCATCTTATTTTGACCAAAGAAATTACTTACTTGTCCCGTATAACTTTTACTAATCCCAAAACCACCCTCATCAAATAAATCCTAAAATATCTAACTACTCCCACTGTCATCTTCTTTCCTCTTCTTCTCCTTTATCTTCCATCTTTACCGTAAGTTCATTCTTTCTTCTTTTCTTATTCATCTTGTTATATGCTTTTTCTTTGAGGTATTTGTATACCTAGATTATCTCAAGCCTGGTTTTAAGACTTTACATTTAAAAAAATATATATGGTAACAATCTTTTTGCAAGTTTTATGTTTGGTCATGGTCCGCTTATATAAAAATCGAAGTTTGGCAGATTGTTACATAATAAGCAAGAGAAAGATGTAGGTTCTTGATTTGTTTTAGGTGATATTTTTGTCTTTTTAATAGAAAAAAGTGTTTACCAGCATTTGTTTACCAAACACTTTAATAACTTTTTTTAAGCTTAAGTACTTTTATCCAAACAGGTAACTACTTATTTATAAAATTAGTCACCGCAATTAAAAGTTACTTGTGCTTAAAAGCCATATTTTTTAAGTCAATCCAAACGGATGGCGGCTGTCTGGATTAACAATTACCAGCAATTAATGTATTTCATGAACAAATAATTCTCGACTGAAATTCTTTTGAGAACATCTTACAAATCAAACCCTTTCTTAAAGCATACACATTAACTGATTTTCCTTTTTCTAAGCAATTGGCTCAAATGGTAATGTGAGTTAGGTGAAATTTCTACTCTTCAAGATCAACTTGAACTCAATTATTACGAAAATCCATCATTATTATAGAATATTCTCATCATTTGCTTTGGTTATTGAAGAAATATGTATGTTCCCCAAAAAAATGGTGACCGGAGATTTTTAGTGGTGCTATTTTTTATGACTTAATGATTGTTGGGGATATTTTGGCAGTGCGAGGATGGAGATGAAGGTGGAGGCTGGTCTTTGTTGTTAATAATGGTGTTTTGACGGTGATAAGAGCTCAAGTTTTTTTATGGCTCGCTGGACTTTTGTTTCTCCGGTGGCCAAGTGGGTTTCAGATGAAGTATGAGAGAAGACGGCGAAAAAGTAATCAATTTTTAAGTGGTAAAAGCGCATGCAACTCACCGACAAAACACTCATGTGGTTATCTCTTATTAATGGTGTGTTTGTTACACTTTAAAATAGTTTAGGGGTAATAGGATCCCGTGCAAATCAAGTGTGTAGTTGAAAATTCGACTATAGATCAGGGGTACTTATGCATTTTCCTTATTTCTTATGATTGATAAATTTATTTCTTTATTGTCATATTAATTTTTAATAACTCAATTTATTCTTCTAATTAATATAATCAAAATAGTTTTTTGTCAATCTTATTATACGTTTTTTTCTGAATTATATTTCTTTATTCATTAGTTAGTCATGTAACTATATCTAATAATCTTACTTATCATTTATTTTCCTTGCATAAATTATACTTTCTTCATCCCAATTTATATGAAAGTGTTTGATTGGACACGGAGTTTATAAAATAAAGGAAGACTTGTGAAACTTATGATCTAAAACAAATCATATAAACTTGTGTGGCTATAAATTATCTCATTAAGGGTAAAAAGGAAATTTTAAAGTTGAATTATTACTAAATATAGAAAGGGGACCGACTAAAAAAAAGGAGTCACATCAGTTGTGATGCAATCAACGCAAATTCATTCAATTTTTTGTATTTTATAAAACCAAAATCTCATTTTTTTTATTTCACATACTCGCCTAATTTAAAAAAAAAACGATGCTTATTAAATGTATATATATATATATTAAGGCCTCTCATTAAGGTATTGCTTTAGGCCTGATGTTGTTGAGCCGCCCCTGCTTCTTGGCCCTCTGCTATCTGTTTACAGCTCCGAGTTAGGACAACTTTTAAGGGATCACATTTTTCAAGTTGCATGGGATGCCTGAGTCAAACATGAATGATAGGGACCTATTTTTGTTAGAAAAGTTTTGGCAAGAATCCTCTTTATGCCGGGGTGTCACTTTGATTCCTTCAACTGCCTATCATTCCCAAATCGATGGGCAAAATGAGTTGTTAAATCGTTACTTGGAGATCTATTTAAGGTGCTTTTGTTCGAAGTCATATCATGATTTGGTTGGTTCCTGTCTGTGGAAGAATGGTGGTGTAATACTACCTAAGATTCTGCCATAAAAATTACTCCTTATGAAGCATTTTATGCCAATGCTCCTCTAGTACATTTGCCTTAGGAGCTCAGGTTGAAGCTGATGTAGTACCACTTATCTCGAGCTCGAAAAAAAGTCATCAGCAGAATAACAAGAGGTCTGACATAGAATTTGCAGAAGAAGAACGAGTCTAACAGAAGATTCAACACAGCAGATTCACTCCCATCCAAAAGGCATTTAATAAGTTGTTAGTTGTTGCTATGTATTTTCCGACCAGATTAGATTTTGGAGAGGACGTAGATCATATGCCTATAAGGTTTCACTACCGCCTGCCTACGTACTTCATCTCACATTCCATGTTTCCAGTTAAAGCCATGCCATCATCTACCAACTACATTTATACATCCTCCAAACTTTGATATGTACAATTCTGCTTGTCATGAACCTCATGCTGATATGTAAAGGCGCATGATCAAGAAGAAGAATATTATTTAGTTAGTTACACAGCATTTATACCCACGAATTGTATGAGCGAGCAGAATTACTGGTAATGCAGACGGTATTCATTGGTAGTTCAAATGCATTGTTCCCAAATTAGCTCAATTTAGCTGGCATATACTGCTCATATATGTATCAGTTGGTTATCATCTTTGGCAACCAATCATGAATTATGGCCCCAACAAAGTTTTGGACCAGGCACATTTCCTTTTCTTATCCCTCAAAAGCACTTTCTTCCCTTGTAATTGCTAGTCTACCAACAAAGTCTTTTTTTATCCTGCAGTCAAATATGCACTTGCAATAGGAGTGCACACAAATACAGCACATGATTCTCAAATATACCTGCATTATCACTACTAGCTCCAGAGGAAAATAGGTGAAGTAGGAGAATACTCGAATTCTTAAACAAGCCGAAAAAATTTGGCCAGGAAAAAGGAATTCCTCTAATAAAATACACTGTACACCATGAAAAGATAACTGAAACTTCATACTATTTCTCCTGCCCTTGCTACAACAGCAGGTTCAGATAGTGGAATAGAAAATTTGAGAATAAGATACATAACTCACATAAGAAATTCTCTCTCTATCATATTAGGTTAAATGCAATCCCATTGTACAACTAAGAATCCTAACAAAATTCTACATAAGTAATTCCTGACCTTTCTCGTGCCTCCAAACCAACAAAAAGAACAAAAGAAAGCATAAGAAAGGAAATTTGATAACAGAGGGCGAAATAACATAAGACCAACACAGGCAAACTTTTACATTGATTTGGCAATTATCAGATCCATTCTTTAGGGTTGATACAAGCATCCAAGAGTTTCCATTCTTCAGTCCCTTCTTCTGGTTTCTGCATTGAGGAACAATCATTTTGTTGATATTCAAAGATGTTTTTCCAGCTTTCCTCTTATGTAAGAATGATATCAATAAAGCAGAGAGCAGAGTAGAGCTTACATGGTCATACTCCCATCGTGCCGTTAATGGAAGAGATACAAGAATGCTCTCAATCCTGCCTCCTGTCTTGAGACCAAATGTAGTTCCACGGTCATAAACCTGCAATTACAAGGGGAAGAAGGGGTTAAACAATAATCATTATAGATAGGAAAATAGAAACTAAGGGAACAGAGTATTTTACCAAGTTGAATTCCACATAGCGGCCCCTCCGTAGTTGTTGCCATGCTTTGTGTTTGTCCGTGAAAGGGGTATCCTTCCTCTTCTCTATGATAGGTATATATGCTGGAATGACGGAATTTGCACACTCTACAGTTCCAAAATTGACTCTTCAAGGAAGGTATTTTATCCATTAAAGCAATTGAAAAGTTCTCCGTGCTTGAAATAACTATAGTTGCTAGATTAAGCAATCAATAGGCATTGTTATTGTCCTAATTATTTCAGGAAAAAATGAAAATAGGATATAATCTAGTTCAGCAATATAGTTTCCAGCATATCAACAACTCCTTTAGCAGCATTTGAAATCTTAGTCTTAAAGGCATTATCATCTAGGATATTCATCCATGGAATGCATACGAGGAAACAAGCACACAACTCACTCCCTTCTCGAGATAAGCTGTCGAACTAACAGATGTCATTTTGCCTTTTAGGCTAAAAAGTAAGCTTTGTCTATGATAAGTTGACTGCTCTGTCTCCTCCATTAACAAAGAATATTTACAAGCACATGTGGGTCTTTTCACACCATTTACCTGTAGAAAAGGAAAGAAGCATTTCTTGATCGTAGTCGTTCAAATCATCAAAAAATATTCCTCCAAGACCTCGCCTCTCATCACGATGCTGCAAGACAATAAGCTCAATGAAAAGCTATAACGTGCCCATACTTCGATTTAACAATTAAAAGAATAGGCAACCAGAATAAAGAAACATACTTCAACTCAACAACTAAAAGAATAGGCAATGGCAACACAAGAGAAAGCCCATTATAAGCTTCCATAGGGCAGCCTGGTATACTAAGCTCCTGCTATGCGTGGAGTTCGGGGAAGGGCCGGACCACAAGGGTCTATAGTACGCAGCCTTACCCTGCATTTCTGCAAGAGACTGTTTCCGCAGCTCGAACCCGTGACCTCCTAGTCACATGGCAGCAACTTAGCAACTTTACCAGCTACGCCAAGGTTCCCCTTCCCCATTATAAGCTTCCAACAATTTAAATTCAGAAAAGCGGAAAGAGTTTTCAACTCAAGGATCCTGCACAATAATGCTGGTCCTTAACAGAAATATGCAGATATAAAGAGGAAAGAGAAAGAGCTGCTATTGCTTGCCTTTGGCTAAACAGTTGCATAAGAGGATTAACATGTTACATATCATAAATATTTCTAAAGGTTTATGAAGGCCTCTGAATATCTTTTATGAGAATCTCTGGGCTTATATAGTACTTTTACTAAGGGAGAGCAGAGGTTTCAGGGGTGAGAAGTGAATAGCCCCAAGAGGTACTTTAACAGGAATACCAAAATTTTAGAGCTTTCATTTGCCAGTTCCAGCAACCAACAGAAGCAGGTTTCTAGAGGAACCGAAGCTTTGACCTACAATTTAAGGAGTGAACATGGAAGAATCACAACAGATCAATATACGACCTCAAAAACCACAAGAAAACTATTGCACCTATTGGGGAGGATTGTTAGACGGTTTTCTGTGATTTAAGGAGCTACATCTGTCAAAAGACTATTTAGCTGTTAGATAGTATCACATGTAAGTCATGTGATTTACTTAATATGGATCCCCGGCTCTGGTTTTTCTGGAAATGTTAAGTTGTTTTAAATCAAATTTATTAAGGGTTCAGCTAAAACAATCTAAAGCTAGTGAGTAAATAACCAAACTCAAAATATTTCAATGGCCCATGCAGAGTTTCCCTATTTATCTTAACAACAACAACAATAACAACAACCCAGTATAATCCCACAAGTGGGGTCTAGGGAGGGTAGTGTGTACGCAGACCTTACCCCTACAATGGGTAGAGAGACTGTTTCCAAATAGACCCTCGGCATCCTTCCCACCAAGAAGTCCCCACCTTGCTCTTGGGGTGACTCGAACTCACAACCTCTTAGTTGGAAGTGGGGGTTGCTTACCATCAGAGCAACCCCTCTTGTCCCTATTTATCTTAAGTACTCCAAATTTTGACGAGAAAATTCAAATATAAAACAACTTCAACATGTTAGAAAACAATGCTCGCTTACCTTAATATAGAAATAGTCATCACACCATTTCTTAAACCGAGGGTAGAAGCTAGCATCAAATTTATCACAAGCAGCTTTTTGCACCTACAAAACAGTCAGTCTGCTTCATGTAATGCAAACAGAAAATCACGATCAAACATGGGAAAAATGTCTTCACTGCATTTCTCATGGTAATTATCTCAGTTTGACATGCAGAAATTGCGAACTAAAGATAAAGAGATTTCAAAGACGAAAACCATCTATGTGTGCACTTATACCGAATGGAAGTGCTTGACATCCTCCTCGAAAATGTAAGCAGGTGTAAAGTCAGTACCACCACCAAACCACCATTGCCTTGGTGCTCCTGGTGCATCTGCAATTATATTGATCACAAGTAACTTTATAGTTCATAAAGCTCTCCTCTATAGGCTGATCAGCAGGATGGCATATCATACACATGAAATGATAAAAGGTATATCTAGA